CTCACTCTGTCGCCCAGACTGGAGTGCAGTGGCCACTCCCGGCCACCCAGCCTCGACCTGCTGGGCTCCGGCGATCCTTCCATCTCAGCCTTCCGAGTAGCCGGAATTACAGGCATGCGCTACCACGCCCGGCTGAGTTTTTGATTTATTGTAGAGATGAGGTCTCGCTGCCCAGGCGGATCTCGAACCTGCGGGCTCAGGCAATCCACTCACCTCAGCCTCCCAAAGGCGCGGGATTACAGGCTGAGCCACCGAGCCTGGCTGAGAGTCTGTTTCTTAATGAGGATGCTATTGGTATTTTGGATGGGACAGCTCTTTGTGGTACGTGGCAGGATGTGTAGCATCCCTGCATTGTTCATACCCCTTTTGCATTGTAGTCCACCCAAATGGCTCCAGGGGTGATCCTTAAATGGACTGAGTACTCCCAGTTGAGAACAATAATATTAACAATATTATTGTTAATATTCGTTGACATTCATTAAGCACTCATTGTGTGCTAGGCACTGAACTGTGGGCTTAATATGTATTCTTATTTGATGTTCGCAGTTCTACTTTATGGTTCTGCTATTTATATTTTGCAGAAGTATAAAAATATATTTATATTTTCCACTATGTATATTTATGTTTCTCATAACTGAGGTTATGGGAATTTAGATAATTTGTCTAAGGTCACCCGTGCCAAAACCTGGGACCCAGCCTAATTTTGAAGCTCTTTCTTAACCACCATGTTTTGCTGCACTTTGAGTTTGCCTTTTCCATGACCCTTTTCTGTCTCTGCTTGCACAACTGTAGAACATATGACTTTTCTGAAGTTTTGTCTTAAAAACAAAGTCATTAATCTTAGGAACTCTGAGGTGAGGCTGTGTCAGTAACAGGAAAAGCAGTGTCAATCTCTCTGCCTGGAACGTTCATGGATGGTTTTTTTGTTCTTTTTTTTGAGTTGGAGTCTCACTCTGTTGCCCAGACTGGAGTGCACTGGCCACTCCCGGCCACTGCAGCCTCGACCTGTTGGGCTCTGGCGATCCTTCCGCCTCAGCCTTCCAAGTAGCTGGAACTACAGGCATGCGCTACCACACCTGGCTAATTTTTTTGATTTATTGTAGAGATGAGGTCTCGCCAAGTTGCCCAGGTGGGTCTTGAACCCGCGGGCTCAGGCAATCCACTCACCTCGGCCTCCCAAAGTGCTGGGATTACAGGCTGAGCCATTGAGCCTGGCCATGGATGATTTTAATCCAGCTTTTAAACTTTTTCTTATTAACTTTATATTTGCCAGTCTGCTCAGCTATATTGAGGCAGGCTCATGATTTGGCTTTCCTAATTCTCCTCTAATGCCTCATTTCTTCTAAGGCCTGCTTACTCAATTTATAAGTATATTTTTGGATTATAAAGGTATTTTTTCCTCATCATACTATTTTGAGTCAAACAAGAAATGCTTAGTCAGCTTGTAGCCTTTCACAGTATTGAAGCCCTCAGTTGAGGCATTCAAGTTTTTTTCTATCAAGCGTATATACTAAGTAGAAATCCTACTGTTGAGAATGACAGTTTTTAAAATAGCCTTTTGTGATGATAGCCTGAGTATGTTTCTTCCCCAGAATTTCTTGTTAAGCTCTGACGTGATTGTGTGTGTGAGAGACCATTAACTCTGTGTACTCTGAGATAACAGCTGAAGTATGACTCATATACAGAGCCTGTTATCTAGCAGGAAAGTGCTTCAGTCTTCCCATTCCTGCCTGGCCAGGCACGTCTCTTGCACATTGCAGTCCAGCTGTGACCATATACATTCTAGAGTCTGGCTACATGGAAGTAGACAGGAATTCTTCTGAGAATCTTACGCTATTCAAGTCAAGGAGGCCCCATTGCCCCTGCTAGGCTACCATCCTGGTCCTTTCAGAGTTCTTTCGATAATGTGGGTGCCACAGGTCTTGCAGCGATGAAGGAGTAATGGATGGAGTGGAAGCACACATGGAATGAGAGTCTTTAAATTCTTCTCCTTATGTAGGATTCCTCACTCCCCTCAACTTGTCTTGATTCATCTGTAGTTACAGACAGAAATTCTTTGTCTTTTTTCCTATAAATCCAGACTAGGGAACGAGGGAGTGGTTCTTACTTTCTCTTTGCTGGCATATTATGTTAGTCTCTCTCAACAATAAAGTGGAACTAAAATCTTTTAATTTCTAAGCTGCCTCATTTACTGAGCACACCTTCAAATAGGTGTGAGTGTCATATAACAGTGTATGGTTTGGTGAGTTGATGATAGTTTATGGCTGTGTTGATGAGTTGATTATGTCAACAGTTTTCTGCCTTTTTTTTTCCTGCCTTAAGATAAATACTTTCAAGGGCAACCCCCTCGGGTCCCCTCCCATTGTGGGACCTTTTCTATTCTCTCAATAAATCCTGCTTTCAAAAAAAAAAAAGAATCTTCTTGATTATTCTTTCATGTGCCACACTTTAGTCACATACAGATCAAAGTGTAGTACTTGATTTTTGGTCAGTGATATTGAGACGTATCAGAGCAATGATACACTTTGTAAAATTATTAAGATAAAGTTGATCATTAAGCGTAACTTAGCCTAATCAATGAATAGAGTTTTAAAGAAAACATGTATGAGTTGTTTGAGATTTAAAAATGTGTATCTCAATCAGCTTTAGTTCTAATTTCCTTAAATTCACTCTTTGCTAACTAAACATGGAGTAGTTTTCAGCTGCATCAGAATTTCTGCTTGCTTTTCTCTTTCTGGTCTTCCTTCAATCCTACATCAA